CGCTGTGGCTCTGGGAGCCAAACCTCTAACAAAGGAGATTTGGGGAGACATTCAATATTCAGACTATAGCACCAAGGTAGTCAAGAATCTGTTCTGGAATCTCTAGACTTACAAACTTCAAGTTTTCTTATCTATAGGGTCTTACAGTATCGGTCATCTTTAAATATTCCATTCTTGGGGCTGGGGATGTGGCTCAGTAGTACAGTGTTTGCCTAGCACAGTTAAAGCCCTGGGTTTGCGTCCCAGCATGGCAAAAACAAAGCATTTGACTCTTAGAATCTCTCCAATCTTTAGCAGGACTTGGTGGCACACGTGCCTGTAATCCTAGTACTTTGGAGGTTAGGGTAGGAGGATTGGGAGTTCAAGGCCAGCTTGGGATGCATAGCAAGACCTTATCTCCAATAAATAGAAAGAAAGAAGAAACAAAGAAACAAAGAAACAAAGAAAGAAAAGGAAAGAAAGAAGAAAGAAAGAAACAAAGAAAGAAAAAAGAAAAAGAAAAAGAAGGAAGAAGGAAGGAAGGAAGGAAGGAAGGAAGGAAGGAAAGAAAGAAAGAAAGAAAGAAAGAAAGAAAGAAAGAAAGAAAGAAAGAAAGAAAGAAAGAAAGAAAGAAAATCTTTGCCATCTTTATTCTAGACCAGAGCCCTTCCTTTCGGGGAAGAGGGAGAGGGAGAAGGAGAGGGAGAGGGAGAGGGAGAGAGAGAGAGAATAGAAGGGAAAAAAAACCTAGAGTCTCGGAACACTTGACTGCAGTCTTTTCCAGCCTTTTGTCCTACTCACTTTGTCACTGGGACAAAGAACCAACACCCACAACGTAAAGGAGAAGAGGTTTCTTTTGATTCGTGGTCTGCCTGGCTCTAAGGCAGGACAGCGTGGCGGAAAAGCGGCAAGGAAGGAGAAAGAGTTGGCAGGAGCTGGAGATGGAGATAAACTCTTCCAGCCCACACGCCTCCAGTGGCCTGGATCTTATGGCCCAATCCCACCTAACAGCAAGTCAGCAATAAACTTCTATAATCAAGCCATCCTCCAAAAGTCCTTCTTATGAGCACATTAGGCTCTTGGGGGACGTCTAGATATAAACCATAATATTTCATCCTGGCCCCCAAAAGACTCATGCACATTCCTTTATGCAAAAGGCATCTAGTCCATCTCTAAGAGTTGCCAAGTCCTAACAGTTTCAGCACTGCTGAAAAGTCTGTCCTAAGTCTCCTCTGAGACACAAAGAAGGCTTTTAGCTGCGAAGCCCAGTAAAAACCAAAAAAGAAAACTAAACACTGGCAACTTACAACGGCACGGGATATACATTCCCATTCCAAAAGGGAGAAACAAGAAGACAGGAAAGAATGGGATCAAAGCAAGACAGAAGCACAGCAGGGCAAACTCTACATCCTTTAGCTCTATGTTCAACACTTGGGGCAAGCTGTGGTCGATGTGAACTCCAAATGACAGGGGTGCCCTGCCCCTAGAACACTGCCTGTGGTTGTTAACTCATGGCTTCTCTCTTGGGCTGGCTGTGCTCACTCCTTGCAGCTCTCCTCACATGTTCCTGGTTCCTGGCTTCTCCAAATTCCTGGAGTCTCCACTGCACTCTCTTCACCCTCACTGTCACAGTTTCACACACTGCCCTCTCCGGGTCGCACTGCCTGATCTCCCTGGCCTTCTGAAACCTGGATGGAAATCTCCCTGGTCCCTCAACTCTTGCTGCATTCATGTAAAATCAGCACACTGTGGATAATACCAGGGTCTGCCACCTTCTGCAGGGGTCTCTGAGTGCCTGGATGGTGGGCACTGTGAAGGGACCCCAGGAAGGCAATTTCCTAGGCAGCCCTTCTCAAGCAGGGTTTCCCGAGACTTACTTCTCAAAGCAAAGTCTTTCACTTTTCCACCCTAGAGTCTGAGAAGGGTCTTTCAGGTTCCTCCCACTCCCTCAAGGGATCCTTTGTATTGTCCCATTGTAAAGTAGTTGGCTTCTCTTCAATGCCAATCTTTTCGGCAACCAAGCTCTCCTCTGCTCCAACTGTAAAGGCTGCATTTTTATAGGAGCTTTCTTCCTGGCAAAGCTCAGAACTTTTTAAATGATTCAGCTGTGCTGTCTGCTGTTAATTTTCAGTGTAAACCTGGCTAAAAGGAGCACACAGTATCCATGTTACAGCCTAAACATTAGACTGTGTTGAAATTTCCTCTGCCAGATCAATTAGTCCTCTTCTCTTAACCTCAATCTCCTGCAAAGTCTCAGAACCTGAGGAAAATGTAGACAAACTTTCCACGAAAGCATAACATCCATGAACTGGAGTCCAACTGACAACAACAAAGTCCTTCTTCCCAGCTGAAACTTTTTGAGCCTGGTCTTTATCAGCTGCATTAGTGCCAGCATTCTGGTTTTCTGAGGTCCAACCAGAATCTCCCATCAAGTTCATGGTATTCTAGGCTGATACTCCAGCCAGCATCTGCAAACCTTTCCAAACTCTTCCTGTGAACCAGTTCCAAAGGCTTCTAAACCACATGGTTAGGTAGTATCAGAGTAACACTTCTCCGGTACCAAAATCTATCTTAGTAACTTCCCTCATCACTAGGATAAACTATCTGATACACAGACCTTTCTTTTTTTGGTACCAGGAATCAAACTCAGGACCTTGTGCTTGCCAGAACCCAGACATTAAGAGAGGTTTATTTTGTTTTTGTTTTTGGATTTTTTGCAAGGTTGTTTGTTTATTGTTTTTCTTTGGGGATTTGTTTATTTTTTAAGTCAGGGTCACACTATGCAGTTCAGGCTGGCCTTGAACTCACTATGTAGCCCAGGCTGGCCCCAAACCCACAGCAACCCTCTTGCCTCAGCCTCCTAAGTGCACAGGCATGTGCCATCGTGGCCAGCTCTTTTTGGTTTTTTGAGATGGTCTTGTTATTTAGCCCAGGCTGATTTTGAATTCACAACACTCCTCCTGCTTCAGCCTCCCCAGTATTGGAATGGAGAGGTTTATTTTGCCTTATGTTTCAGTCCACATTCAGCTGGCTCCAATGCAAGACAGCACGGGACAGAGGCATGGCAGAAGAGAGCTGTTCATGTCAAGGCAGGAAGCAGAGAATCAAGGAAAGAATATAATCTTCCAGGCCAAGCCCCCTCAGGGATCCACCTCTCTACCAGACCCCACCTAACAGAAAGTCAGCTATAATGCCTCAATAATCCACTCACTTTCCAAAAGCCTCACCTATGAGCGCATGAGGCTCTTGAGAGACATCTAGATATAAACCATAACTTGATCCTAGCTTCTCACATGCCAGGGCTGTGCCCTGGAATCAGGGAAGCTGACCTGACTCTGTTGCCAGGGAGGAGATACCAGTTCTTAGCTCTGGAGGGCTCTAGGGAGCCCCACACCCAACCTTCAACCTGTCTGCCTACTCTGCTCTCCCCTTGAGATGGCGAATACCAGGGGGTCAAAAGGAAATTCCTGATTCCCCCACTACTAGAAAACATGCAGCATCGCACACCACCCTGACCTCCCCTCTGTAAAAGACTCCACAGTCTTTCCTCATGCCGCTGACTACAAAAATCCAGGAGTAGGGAAAGGATTTTGTTACACTAGACAACAGATCCTTCTGGATTTTGTTCACGGTCTGCAATCGTCTCTTTCTCCCGATGATAATAGTCTCTTCTTACATAAAGCCAGATTTGTTTTTGACAGTTCATCTTGATTCCTCCCTGCAGCTTCAAACTCAATTTGTCAGCCAATCCTGCCAGCTCCACCTCCAAATGCATCTCAGATGCATCCATTTATTTCCCTCCCCCAGGCCACTGTCCCCAATCCAAGTTACTGTCATCGCTGGGTGGACTTTGCCGCAGCCACCCCACAATGTGTGCTTCCTCTCTTCCTGCTCCCTCCCCCACAATTGCTTCCTTGGCTGACTGCCTGCAAGGTCATTTTAAAGGCAAACAGAAAACTAATCTATGGTTGGAGGAGGGAGGAAGGCAGGTAACTGAATGGGGAGGGGGATGAGGGAGCAGTCTGGGGGTGATGGTAACTGTCCTGACAGTAGGGGATTATGTAAATGCATGCCTTTGTGTTTGTACACTCAGCTAATAGTACACTTAAGAGTACCAATTTTGGCAACCTGTTTGGGACCCCTGTTGTCTCTCAGGAGCTTTTCCTATTCTCTGTTCCCCCATTCCTATTCTCCATTCCTTTTCTCCAATAAGTTTTCCTATTCTTAAGAACAAAAATACCAATTTCACTGTAAATTTACTTCAGGGGACAAAAAATTGCCTCTACACAAATAATGAACTCCAGCTGATGATACACTGATATATCTGGGAATAAAGTATATTGGTATCTGCAACTGACTTTGGAACACATCCAGGAAGTAAAGTAAGATGGATTACTGGGGTAAGATGAGTAGATATGCAACAAAGAAAGCTGCGTGATAGGTATAGTTGGGGCTCAGGACACGTGACCCGGAATTACAGCTCAAAGACCAGACTGTGCCACCCCAAATTCTACCTTTCTGGAGTATCTTGCCCTGATTATTTTGTGAAACTGCAGACACAGGAAAAAACTGTCTTTTTATAAAAGAAATTTACATCTCCAAAGGGAATCTACACTGATAAACTACCTGCATCTGGAAGAGGACTGTTCTGGGATCACTTCTATTCCAGAACAGACTTTTTTTATGTGCAGCTTTCATTCACCAAGCATTTAATCCTCTCCCCTTCCAGGGGCCTGACCCCACCCCAGAGCCTCAGCCTCTGTTCCTTTCTGTAGCTCAGGATGCTAAATAAACTCCCATCCTCTTGCCCTCTCTCATATTTCACGGAACTCCTGGGTCTATGCATGTAATTAAAATGGTTTTTTTCTCCATTAATCTGTCCACTGTCAGTTTACCTCATACAAAATTACCAAAATTTTAGAAGGGGGGAGAGGTAGGATGGAAAAAATAAAGACAAGTAAAAAAGAGACAAGAAAATCAAAATGTTAAAAATTATATTTTAAAAGAAAACTGCAGCAACAGAACACAAAGTCTGGTTTATTTACCTTTTTTTTATTTCCTTCTCCCAAAACAGCAAACTTGGGTAACTCCCTTTTGTAAGGTTTGAATCAGACATGACTCTCCCAGCACCCAACCTGTTCACCAGCAGAGACGTTGTTCTCAGTGGAGACTCAGCTCAGCATCGAGGCTGTCCTTGACAAACAAGGGATGCTATGAAAGAAATAAAAATAAAGAGGGCAAAGAATCTTGCAGGTCACCTGACAACTGGAGACACCCCAAAATTTATACCAGACTCCTCAAGGACTGTACCCACTGAGGTGCAAGACAGCCGGAGAACTTTGACCACTTGTCATTCTATTCAGAGTGACAGGTCCCAAGAATGAGGTATCCATGGATGAAAAGGAAATGAGATGCAAGAAAAACAAGAGAGGCAAAAGTCTGGGATCGGGGGGCTTACAGCCTCTTGGACTGCAGCCCCGATTACCAATCTCAGTCATCTTTTACTGAGCGAGAACCAAGGGCATAGCTAGTACAAATTGGCAATACCAAACATTTTAGTAATTAAAGCATTATCCTTCTCCAATTTTGCCTCTTATGCTGCTGGCAACAGTCCCCTAGTGGGCCTCCTACACCCAGCACCACGCTTACTCAGTTCAGCTGGGGGTTATAAATTGACCACTAGTTATCAATCCACTACAATCACAGTCCTTACTTCCCATTAATTTTTACAATGTATGGCAAGACTAAAAAATAGGGATCCCCTGCAATTCAAATACACTCTTATCTTCAGGTGAAAGGTTTCCGTTCATTTTTGCAACAATAAATGAATCATTGTGTGTCCTTGGTGCTTTCTACTCAAAGAATGTCCTTCTCCACAACCACTGATATTTATTAACATCCTCCTGCCTCATGTTCCTGCCTTCTTTCAATCTCTATAAAAAACGGCCCTTACTCTTTGTTCCCTATAGAAGGCCTTATTGCCCTCTGTCTGCCTGCACCCAGGTATTAAATCTTATACCTGTCGCTTTCACAAAAGCCTGCTGAGTGGTCTCTGCCTCATCATTCCTTACACCTTTCAGATGCAAACACATCTGCCCATTCCAGAAAGGTACCACCCTTTAGGCATTTCCCATGGGAACAGCTCACTAAAGATGGACCATCCTCTCCCACCCTCTAACACTAAAACTAAAACTGAGATTGAGATTAAGACTGAGACCAAAAGTAGGACTAAGACTATAGATTACCAAATTCTACAGATTTCAACCTCCCAGAACACATAAAAGATCCCCAGTTCCTAACTGTTGTGCCTCCTTCCTTTGAGCAGCTGCACTCCACTCTTGAGTGTGTTCTAGATCTACTTCTAATAAATCTTTCTCGTGCCTCTTCTTCTGATGCATCCTGAAAATTCTTTCTCTTCAACAGAGTCAGCAAAACTGCATACTTCTTTTTAAATGGGGGGTTAAGTTCCTTATTTTAGCCTCAGAGACCCTCAGACCCAGCCTATAACATCTTCCTTGGTGAGACAGCCAGGAGATTTTTTTAAAAGGAGGCATCCTTTGGTAAGTCCAGCTGAACAGGTTTATTTATTCACTTATTTTCATTTTGTTTCTTTTTTGTTTTATTTTTCTTCCGGTACCGGGAATCAAACTCACGACCTTGCGCTTGCCAGGCAGGTGCTGTGCAGCTGAGCTAAATCCCCAGCCCCTATTCATTTATTTTCATTCTTTGTCCCCATTTTCTCCCAACACCTTTGCCTCTAAAGCAAAGTTTCCCAGTGGTTTGCTTTTCTTCCTCAGTCTCCCACTCAGGATTTTGTCTATCAGAAAACTCAAACCGTTTAATTTTTTTCTGTTGGTTACCAAAAAGGTAGGGAACTGGAAGGTAGAGGATCTTAGTGCCTCCCACCACGTGAGGTGGGGAGGGGAAGATCTCTGCTCTCCTTGATATGTGAACTGTAGTGAGGTAAAATCTCCAGACTTCTAAAACCCCCTGAGTTCTTCATGTATGTTACAAGTCCCTAGATGTCTTAGTTACTTTCTTTATTGCTGAAAAAAAAAAAAAAACCTGACACCCAAAGTTAAAGGAGGAAAGTTTTACTTAGCTCACAGTTTTAGAGGCTTCGGTCATAGTTGGCTGGCTCCAAGGCAAGGTGGCTTGGCAAAAGGGCAGCAGTTCATGGTGGTAGAAGACAACAAAAGCAACAAGAGAGGAGAAAAGGCAAGCCTCTTTCTGTCCCTTATACTGTACCCAGTCTACTGGGATTAGGGTGGTGCCAATCCAATCAGTGGACTGATCCAGCAATCACCCACCCTTGATTCCAGCACTCTTAATCCTAGCATTGAACCACGAATCAATCACAAAATCAATCACAAATAGATTTAACTGATAAATGAAAAGATAGATTCAGCTACCTCTGAAAAAGCCCCATCTAAAATTACAAGAAGCTTTGCTATGGTAAGCAGAAACACCAAAATGACACCCAGGATTTGGAGGCAGATTTATTTACGCTGATGAGCACTGATCAAAATCAACCCAAAAATATCAGACCCTGATCTCTGGTGGTTTAGGGCATATATGGAATAAGCAAGCAGGAAGTACAGAGGCAGAATGGCTTGTCAATTGGGGATTGGTTCTTACCATATGCATCATAGTGACCAGCTATGCATAAGTGACCAGCCATTTCTAAAAGACAGAAGCAATCGGAATTGTAACAGAAAATGCCCCCCTTCCCTAGCCAGTATACTTCAGTTTCTTAGTTGGGATGGGACCTCTAGACAGAAACCGTTTTGTTTTTGTTTTTTTTCTGGTACCGGGAATCGAACTCACAACCCTGCGCTTGCCAGGCAGGCGCTGTGCTGCTGAGCTAAATCCCCAGCCCTAGACAGAAACTGTAACACTAGCTATAAAGATCTTTGGGGTAGATTTTCAGTAAAGGCCAGCTGCTGTGTAACTTTTCCTGCTTCCCTGACCTGTGTTAGCATAGCCATGCCCCAGTAACAAGGACTCTTATACCAGCCCTGCCAGAAAGCATCCTGGGCAGTTCTGACTCTGGAAAATGGGGTGGGCCACTCATGTGGCCTGACCCCAATTTGGAGCATCCTGAGGCATGACCCTGGTTCCCATCTTTTATTTTTCTCAACTTTATCTCCAGAAATACGCAAGGGAAATCTTGGATACATCCAAAGCACCTCTCTAGAACATGGGCAATTTAATATCAAGCCTCATAATATCACCTTTAGGTTGTCTCATGAGAAATTGGGACCATTTTAAAGGGAAGGGCTTAAAAAAGAAAAGGATGATATTTCTTTGCAACTCAGGGGTCAGTAAAGGTTACAAAATGGAGAGACATGGCTTCTAAATGACCTCTACCTTAAGTTTTAATGTAATATTCTACCTTGATCTATTTTATAAGAGGAAAAGTGGACAAAAATTCCATATGTCCAGGTTTTTATGCCCTATGTCAAGATCCAGAATTACATAGGTCTTGTACAATCTGTTATGCCCATGTGCCATTAAGGCTAACTAAAACAGAGCCCGACTGGGTAAAAGTTGAACCTTGAGTGCTCCACGCAAAACATCCCAGATAGCCACGGGACCAGCAGTAGAACCAGCAGAGGCTTCAGAGGCCCCAGAAAAAGGCTCAGAAGGTAGTTCACCCCTCTCCTCTACTAGATTCTCTCCCAGGACTGCTTCCCCCATCCCACCTCCTTATCAACCTATCCACTCCCTATTAGCAAAGAAATCCAGCCCTGCTGGTGTAACAAGGAGTGGTAAATCTCACCATCCCAATGATTCAAAAGCTAATACCTGCCCACTTTGAGATGTCTCAGATGGGGAACAGGCTGTTATGAGAGTACACGTCCCTTCCTCCATGAGTGATCTGGCCCAGACGAAACAAAAATCAGGACAGCCCTCAGAAGACCCAGATAGATTCATAGGTAAATTTTAGACTTTGGTTATAACTTAGGATCGAACTTAGATCATCATGTACTATTTTCCACTTGCTGCACCCCTGAAAAGAAAGCCCGTAAGGGCGCCACCGCACAGGCTAAGGTCGATGAGGTACATGCTGAAAATAATGACAGGGATGTGGGTTGAGTGGCAGTGCCTGAAAGAGACGCTGATTGACAGTACCAGATTAGAGATGAGGGCCCCCCAAAAAGCAATAAAATGATTACTCATTTAATTGATAAAATGAAAAAGTACATGAATGAGCTGGTCAATTACAAAAAGATTAGAGAAATTACCCAGGACAAAGAAGAAAATCCTGCTTTATTTCTGGGGCACTTAACTGAAACCCTCCCATAAATTCACTAATATTGAGCCCAACGCACAGGCTGGACAAGTTTTATGAAAAACATATTTTCTTAGCCAGGCCACCTCAGATATTCACAAAAAATTTCAGAAACAAGCTATGGGTCTTCAGACCCCTATAAAAGGACACTTGGGATCTTCAATGACAGGAAGGCCCAGGAGGGATGACAACAGACACAAAAAAAGGCCCAATTTATTGCTTTGACATTAAATAACAAAACCTCGCCTCCTCAGAATGACCCAGAGACTCCACCTACAAAGAAGAAAGAAACCAGATCACTGCTACCACTGTGGAGAGCCTGAACACTTGCAAAACAGCTGCAGTAAGCTGGGCCCTTCTTCACCCGCCATGCGCCCCCACTACAAGACAGCAAGAGATTGAAAGCAAGACTGCGCTCTCCTCCAAGCAGGGAGAGTCCACCTGTTCCCGTGTTGGCTGCCTGAGAGGACTGAAGGTGCCCAAGGTCTCTCAAAGCCCCTCTCAACAAAGTGGACATCACCCTAGATGAGCCTTGAGTAATTCTTAACATGGCAGATAAAAATGTAAGTTTTCTTTTAAATACTGGGGCATATACCTCTGCCTTACGCACATCCCCTGGACCCCTTTCTAATAAAACTTATATTTTGACTGATAATGATAGTATACCTAGGGCCAAACTTTACAATGCCCCTATCCTGCAGATTTGGTAAGCTAGTTTTCACTCAAGCTTTCCTAGTTTTCCAAGAATGTCCTACTCCATTATTAAGAAGAGTTTTGTTTTGTTTTTTTTTAAGAAGAGATCTTTTTGCCTCTTTAGGGGCAACTCTTTATCCGGCACCAAAATACTCAGGCGGTGGGGGGTGGGGCACTAGTAAAAGTCCCAAGAAGTTGCTAAAGCTTTGTTAAGAGACATTATCCCAAGGTTCAGACTTCCTAAGTCACTCCAGAGTGATAACAGACTTTCTTTTGTCTCCAAAGTGACACTAGAAGTTTCCTAAGCCTTAGGAATAGCTTATTAGCTTCATGCCTCTGGGTATCCTCAGACCTCAGAAAAGGTTAAAAGGGCCAATTGACATGTTAAAACCACCCTGAGAAAAACTACGCCAAGATAGAGTCTTGGCTAAAGCTGTTAACTATTGCTTTACTAAGGATTAAAATCGCACCTAAAGCCTCTCGCCAGCTAAGCCATTTCTAACTGCTGATCTAGTTACTGACACTAAGATATAAGAAATGATTAAATACATCATCAATTTAAGTCAGATACAAAAGGCTTTACTAAAACATGTCAGTAAAGTCCTTCCAGCACTAAGTTCTGAAACTCATATCCCTAAAATTCAACCTGAGGATCATATGTTACTTAAAGTTTGGAAAAAAGAGTCACCTTTATATCAGCTCCATCCTAAATAAAAGGGCCCCTACCACGTTCATTGTTCGGTTTGGTTTGGTTTGGTTTGGTTTTCATTTTGGTTTTGGTGTTGGATTTTTGAGACAGGGTCTCACTATGCAGTGCAGGCTACACTACACTTTAAAGCCCAGGCTGTCTCAAACTCACAGCAATCCTCCTGCCTCAGCCTCCCAAGTGCTGGGATTACAGGCTTGTGCCACCACACCCACTACCAAGTTCTTTTAAACTTACCCACAGCTGTCAAATTATGGAGACATACTTCTTGGGTTCATCTATCAAAAATTAAACCTCTTGGGGCTGGGGATTTAGCTCAGCGGCACAGTGCCTGCCTGGCAAGCACAAGGTTGTGAGTTCAATTCCTGGTACTGGAAAAAAATAAAAATAAAAATAAAATAAATAAAAATTAAACCTGTTCCTTTTGAGACTCTACAGGATCAAGAAGTCAAAAAGACAGAGACCTGTGATCAGTACTCCTGTGAGTCTTCAAAAGACTTATAAATACTCTTCAAGAGCAATAAGAAGGCTAATTCATGATAAATTAAATAAATTCATTTGGTCTAAATATATTCTCTTACAGCTGCACTATGTCTGTTAAAATTAAAGTCAGATTATTCATTTTTTTCCTAACCCTTATACCATTTTCCAATGGGAAACTAATGTTTTCTTTGAATGGTCCAGCAGTATTCCAAGAGCTTTAGCAATGGCCCACTTCTACTGCATCTGGACTACCATGGTGTGTCTCACCTTTACAGAGAGATGATTAGATAAAAGCAAATTTTTATAGAACAGCTACAAAGCACAACAACAATTTTAAGCCTTACAGCCAGGTCTAACATCTCCATGGCCAATAAATGAGACTCTTCATCAAAAAGGCAATGAGAAAATGTAATGCATTTGTCTTACTTAAAAAGGTAGTATAGACTTCTTTATGATGGCACCTGTGTGTATATGTTTATGTATATGTATATGAGCGTTTATAAATAAATAAAGCTTTTCTTGTTGGATAAGATATTAAAAAAAAAAAAAAGGCAATGAGAAAAATTTTTCCTTAGCCACAATTAATACTCTTTAATAACTGGCTGGCCTCCTGGTTCCTGAGAAGAACCTGGTGAAGAAGGCTTCATTTTTCCTGGCTATGTTACTGGGCATTAGAATTCTTGTCTGTTGCATGATTCATTGTTGTTGTGGGCTAATGTCTCATATGTCCTTGCTCTCTTTATTCAGACTATCAAAAGATAAAATCCAATATTCCTATGACTCCATTAGATCAGTAAAGGTGAGACTTTGGTCCCTGGCTACCCAGGATCAATGCCCTGCCTCAGTTGAAGCAATTACTGAACACTGACCATCCCATGGGTCTTCTCCAAACACTCAAGAATAAGGGACCAAAATCTCAGTGGGAAAGTGAGGTAGGATAGAAAAAATAAAGCTAGGTAAAAAAAGACCAGAAAATCAAAATTTTAAAAATTATATTTCATAGAAAAATTGCAGCTTCACAACAGAAGCCTGGTTTATTTACTTTTCTTTTTTTCCTTCTCCTAAAGGAGCAAACCTGGGCACCTCCCTTTCAGAAATAACCGAGTCTGCTGGTTCCCTCCTACTCACAAATGGTCCTCTTTCACCCATGAAGGGACTGCACCCTTTTGGCATTCCCCATAGAAATCGCTCACAAAAGGCGGGCCAGCCTCTCCCACTCTCTAAGACTAAGCCTATGATTAAAACTGAGACTGAGATTAAACTAAATCTGTACATTATCAAATTCCAAAATTTCCACCTCCCAAAACACACAAAAATCCCCAGTTCCCAACTGAATTGTGCCTCATTTCTTTGAGCACCCTCTCTCTGCTCCTGAAGACTTACTATAATAAGTCTTCATCACATTTCTTTTATTGGCACATCCTAAAAATTCTTTTTTTTCAGCAGCAGTCAGTAAAACTGCATACTTATTTTAAAAGGTGGATTAAGTTCCTTATTGTAGCCATAGGGACCCTCAAACCCAGCCTGTAACAATAGAAAGTTTTCTCTCCTGTACAGTACATAGGTGGACTTCACTGCATGTGTAAAAGTCTTCAGACTAAAATGTTAACTGAACTTACTTCTGGGAAGATGGTGGAGTGGTAAAAAATGGAGAAACAGCCTCTCTGAGATTTGGTGTCCAGACACTTGAATATAGCAACATGAGGAAGTCAAAAAGAGAAGTGGGTCCCTGGGATCAGCAAGGATCTGAAGTGAGAACTGAAGCCCACAGGGAGAGCAAAGAGAAGACTTCAAAGAAGAAGAGGCAGCAAGGAGGTGCTTTCTCCCTGAGCCCTGACTCACTGAGTGAGAATGGCACCCCAAACCTGCAGACTCATGATGACTACTAGTAACCACAGAAGCCTCAGAGAAATGCACCAGTGGATCAGAGCAGCAGATGCAGAATAATGCAGTGGCTGGTGAGTTATTCAGGTTCAGACATCCTCTAGCAGAGGGTAGCTGGCAGGTGGCCATCTTGGAGAGAGGCCAACTGAGCTCAGAACTCAGAGCAACCACTGGCCCCATCTAGTGGTTCCCAGTGTCAAGGTGAGCCTGAATTGAGTTCAAGTCAGCAGGAGATCAAGGAGTAGAATTCAACCTGGCAGGGAGCCAAGTTCAAGCCAGCAGGAAGCATACAGAGTGTTACAGGCTGAATAAATCAGGTTCCAGCTTCACAGGAAGAAACCAGCCTGAACTTCATTGGAACTAAGGTGCTGGCTTATTGGGATTAATCAACACAGATCTGGACTCTGTCTGCCCACTTTGTATACCAGTGACAACAGAGACACACCTTAAATAGACATTTTTTTATGTTCCCTTTTTGTCTTTTTTTTTCCTTTTCTTGTTTTTGTTTTGTTCTCTTGCTTATTTTTCTTTTTATATTAGTGTGAACACGGTTTCTAGTTACTTGTTGTTGTTCTGGTCTATCTTGTTTTTATTTCTTCCCTCTTTCCCTTCTGTCTTTTTCACCAGTTTTCCAAAGTTTGTATAATCTTCCTGTGTCCTTCAGCCTTGATTCTAATCTCTTCCTCTTCTATTTCTCTATTCCCCACCTAACTCTTCTAAATTTTCTCCCTGAGGGTAAAACTGCCATAATGAGAGAATACAATTTTCTGATTTGTTTTAGATTTTGTTATATAACCACAAATCTAGCTCATACAGTTGAAGGTGGCAAATTAATAGTTAACACAGTTTGACATTTTCTATGCTGCTTGATGCTATTGTTATTGCTGATTGTACTACTTTAACCAAGGTGACATAATTGTTCTAATCAGTTGTTCCTCCTTGTATACCAAGACTGAGATTGCCTAAGGGTCACAAATAATACTATAGACCAGTGTCAAAGAACAATGGGCTAGGCCAAATAGGCAGCAACTTCTTATCCCCAGTAAATTGAAGAGGTAGGATCCTGCAACACACTCAAAACCCAAAAGCTCACTATTCCTAGAAGAGTAGTCATTTCCTAAGGGTTTTAAGCAATAAAGCTACTTGCCATAAGGGGCTGGGGATTTAGCTCAGCGGCAAAAGCGCCTGCCTGGCATGTGCAAGGTCATGACTTCGGTTCCCAGTACCGGAGAAAAACCAGATTAAACCTTAAAAAAAAACAAAAAATGAAAGGACACTTAATCAAGATGAAACTCCAGACTTCTGCTCACCAAAAACAGAGAGCTTTGAAGTGGAACAATTTGAAAGCCACCCACCTGGACTCTCTGAAGTGGTACCAGCAGAAGGGATAAAGCAGATGAACAAAGCTCTAGAAAAATATCAAATCAAAAATAATATCTCAGATAACTACAGAGATGATGACCACAATAAAAGACATGGATAATGACTCTAGAGCAGTGAGAGTTAAAAAAAAAAAAAAAGAGCTTAGGAAAACAACAGAAGCCATAAAAGCCTAACATAGAAAAAATGCAATCCATGAAACAGAATCAAACAGATATCCAGGAGATTAAAAATTCCACTGAAAGTATACACAGTAGAATGAACCACTGTGCAGACAGAATATCAGTTATAAAAGACAAGATTGAGATTAGTGCTTATGAAAAGAAAGATTTCTTTAAAATACAAGGAACCATGATTAATCAATCCAGGAGCTGCTAGATGATACAAAAAAGAATAAAAAAAATTGATCAGAGTCAATGAAAAAACAGGAGATTAAAGCAAATGAAGTAAAAAAAAAAAAAAAAACTGTTCACAGAAGTAATGGCAGAAAACTTCCCAAGCATGGAAAAAGACTGACATACAGTAAGTGAGACATATAGAACTCCAATTATACATGATCAAAAAATCTACAGCAAGGCATATGGTAGTCACAATTCAAGAAATTCAACACAAGGAAAAAATAGCAAAAGCTGTTAGAGAAAAGAAGCAAATCACCTATAAAGGAAAGCCCATCAGAATCACAGCAGACTTCTCAACATACACCCTCAAGTCAAGGAGAGCTTGGAGTAAAGTATTTCAAGCCCTAAAAGAAAACAACCTCCAACCCAGATTGATGTACTCTACAAAACTATCTTTTAAAATGAATGGAGAAATAAGATACATCCATGACAAAGAACACCTGAAGAAATTCATGACCATCAGAGCAGCACTCCAAAATATTGTGAAGGACATTCCAGAAAGTGATAACAAGGACTACAATTGCATGAATCCCAACAGAATGAATCCACCAGGCAAGGCAAGCAATTAAATAGATGGGAAAGAAGGGAACAACCAACAGGAAAATAATATGGCAAGGATAAGTCAATACATATCAGTTCCCATCAATATAAATGGTCTCAAGTCACTAATCAAAAGACACAGAGGACAGAATGAATCAAGAAGCAAGACCCAACAACATACTGCATACAAGACTCATTTAATTCAAAAACAAATTCATAAGCCAGGCGTGTGGCACACACCTATAATCCCAGCACTCTGGAGGTGGAAGCAGGAGGATCGCTGCAAGTTCAAGGCCAGTTTAGGTTACATAGTGAGTTCAAGTCCATTTGAACTACATAGTGAGACCCCATCTCAAAGAACAAACAAAAACAAATTCATAGACTGGAACTCAACTGACAGAAAACAATACTCCATGCAACTAGAACCAGGAAAAAAAGGAAGGGGAGCTATTCTATTTGCACACAAAGTGTATTTCAAGCCAAGAATGATTAAGAGAGACAAACAAGATCACTATATCCTTGTAAAGGGAACAATCCAAGAGGAAGATATAACAGTCATAAATATATATGCAACAAATATCAGTGCACACAATTATATAAATCAAATATTAACAGACATAAAAAATCAAATAAGCACAAATACAATTGTAATGGGGGACCTCAACACCACACTGTCACAAATAGAC